GAGAATTGCCTTAGGTTTGTCTTTATTTGTAGGTTTTTTTCCTAGTTCAATAGAAACATTTGTTGGTTTGACTTGTTATTGTGTCTCTATTGGCAGGCATTTGCACGTTTAAGTGCAGTTTATGGTGGCACTCATAAGCTCAACAAGCCTGACTGTAAGGTAAATCTCTCAGCACATTTTGAATTTTCTTTGTTTTCTGTAAAGAATTTAGTGATTAGTGGTAAAAGAGAATAATACTTAGGACAAGAAAAACTCAGTACTAAGAAATCAAGAGTACTTTAAGTACCTTATATATATATATATATATTTTGGAAAGTTTAATTCCCTTATATTGATCATTCACTTTAGTTGCATAAGATTTATTGAGAAGTAGATGTTCAACAAATAAACAAGCGCTATAAGTCTCCCATCAGGTAGCTTCCAAGGTTTATTTTTAGAGCTCCAGGTACCTCTTTTGTTGCTCATATGCTGATAATATAGATCCCAAGGGAAAATACATTGCTTTTGTTTTAACAGAAGTAGAGACTGACAACCACGAGATGGACGTTGAAGCCCCGCATTAACCTACTGGGACCAGTGGATGAGATATTCTACAACACATATGACAGATATGTCCCCATGAACAACACTTATGACACTTCATATCTGCTGTAAGAAAACCTCTATCCCCCTATTATTCTGTATATTCTTTGGAGAAAATATTGAATGAAAGTACGAAAGGCAACTTTTCCCACTGATTATTATTTTGTCCATGAATGATGTGAAAGAACATTAAGACTCAGGCATGATAAATTTCTCCCATTGGAGCATCTTTGTCAAATGAATCAGGGTTTTGGCTACTTGGGATTTTTAACTTTCGGAACTCAATGTTCCTGATTCAAGCTTTAAATTTCTTGCAGAGTTATGATCTGAAAAGCAATTTGAAACCACTGTGAATGATGAGATCAAGATGTATAGTAAGATTAGTGGAAAGATAGCAGTTCATTTCCAATTTTTTTGACTTTCATCTTATTGCATTCTGCAGCTACATATCTCCTCTTTAATCTCTTGTTCGAATGGTTGATTCATTTATCATTTTTCCCATGTCTGCACAGGCTCTTGATTTATGTGTGGACCTGAGTGCTGCCTGCTAATTTGGCTGAAGAATGAAATTCTTGATTTATCATTTTCCCTAATATCAAGTTTCTTGGGGTTTTTAGGAAGGTTGTTTAGAATGAAATTTTGTTTGTCATGAGATGACAGTTACTTATCTGAAGAGTGGAAAGAGAGGCATAGAGAGGCAGCAGATGATGTTCCTTCAAAACTTTTAAATTTACAGTTTGTCCCTCTAGAGGTATTACTTCTCTTTATATCCATTTCTTTAAAAATAGGAAGTTGTTTTGGGGCCAATTTTAAAATTTTAGTACAAGGCTTAGATTTATTGGGGAATTGAGGCTGAGGAAAAGCTCATAAAGGACTGTATTTTTGCATAGCCGTGTTTCTTCTGTAATGTCGATTAGCATGTTATGTCACTTGGTTCTATTAGAAAGCATCATTTCACATATGCAAAACTGGTAGACTTTTTTTTTTTAATTTTCCTTCTGTATTATTCAGCTGCCACAACAGGAAAATTCATTTGACTGTGGCCTCTTCTTGTTGCATTATGTGGAACTCTTTCTTCTTCAAGCATCAACTAAGTTCTGCCCTTTTAAGGTAGCAAAATCCTCCAACTTTGTTAGTACCGTTGTTGCTTTCTACTAGATTTGAACTTGCATAATGTTATTCTTTTTGCAAGAAGTATATCATTGTTTATGACTACCATTTTACTTTTAATTTCTGCTCGGTTATCTCTGCTTGTTGCCATCGAGTCTTTTCTATTGCAAATGACTTCGGAAAATAATTATTGGTGTTGTTTATTCATTGACTGGTAACTGAATTACTAGTATGAACTTGTGAATATGGTCCTCTTACTCAGCTTTGTTTCTGTCCTATCTTTCTTGAGCATCACCTGTTTATCTTATGGAACTCAAACCTCCCAAAAAATGCTTTTGTTTTTAACATGAAAATGTAGATAAGATTTCATATGTAATGTTCACCATTTCTAATATTTTCTTTGATCTTTTTTTCAGCTTAATATGAATTGGTTTTCACCAGCTGAGGCTTCCTTGAAACGCTCTCGTATCAAGGAGTTAATCTATGAAATCCCGGAGGAACAATCTCCTAGTTCCACATCAGTTGATATCATTTATAAACGTCCATCCTCCCTGTTACCTGGCCAAAGTGAGCAAGAAACTGGAGTACAATTTAATGAGCAGATTGGAAGTTCAACAAAAACATGTCATCGTCATTCCTCAAATTCCAATGTTAAGCAGGGGTCTAGCAAATTTGCACTTTCTGCATCCCCTCCTACAGTTCTACAAGGCTGTAAAGACTCAGGATTGGAAATGCTTGAGCGTTATGAGGTGGGATTTTGTGGTGGATTGGTCTCACTAGGAAATTATCATCAGATTAATGCACTCGGTAAAAGAAATGCCATGTCACCTATAGAGGTAACCTTTTGTTTCTTTATTACCAATAAGTTTAAAGCATGATATAATATCAATTTGCTAATGAAAAATAGATAAGATGCAAATCACCTTTCTCTTTTAAAATTTTGGAAGTTACATCTTAATCTTAGTATATATAAAAATATATATATGTAAATTTCATCTATATCCTTAAATTTGAAGCATAATTTCACTCAAATTCATTAGTTTGAAAAATGAATCAAACTTTTTGATTAATAAGACAATAAAGTTGTTTTGTCAATTATCTTTTAATTATTTCATTAAAAATCTTATTAAAATATCATTTTACTCTTAAAAAAATAATGTTTTCAAATATTCATATAAAGTAATGATTTTATAATAATAAGTTTTTAAATTTTTTCTTAAAATATATTTATAATAGATAAAAACATTTTTAAGTGCAATATATAAAAACAAAATTCAAATTATAAATAAGCTAATATGTGAAATATTTATAATAAAATGAATATATTGAACGTGTAACAATTTTTCAACATGAAACAAATTTCAAAGAAAATGAACAAGCAAAATATAATAAGAAAAAAACATTCGGTTGAAAAAAAAAAGAGAAAAAGTTTGGTTAAAATTTTTACATGCTTAATATATTTATTTTATTATGCATATATTGACATATTAGCATATTTATAAGTGTAAGTTTTATTTTTATATGTTGCATTAAAAAAATCTTTTTTATATTATTAATATATTTTATGTATCTTAAGAAAAAATTAAAAAATTTATTATTAGAAAATATTGCATTATATGAATATTTGAAAATATTAAGAGTAAAATGATCTTTTAAAGAGACTTTTAATGAAATAATTAAAAGATGACTAACAGATCCTATTAATGGAAAAGTTTGAGGTGAGTTTACATTTTTCAAACTATGGACTTGAATGAATTATGCTTAAAACTTAAGGATTTAAATGGAGTTTACCTAAAAATATATTTATTATTTATTTAATTTTATATTTATATATGTATTTTATTAAAATATTATTATTATTTAATACTTTAATTTAGTAAATTCACATGTCATTCCATTTTATTTTTTTTTATCAAATTTTGTTTTTAAAATTTTTTTATTAGATAAATTTTATAAAAAAAAAATAATAGATATAGATACGAGAAAACGACCTATATTTAATATGTTCATGCTTCAAATGGTATGATTTTTTTTTAAAATAAAAATTTGGTAAAGTTTTATCTCTTTGAACAATTTGTGACAACTCAAAATTAGGTTTTGAGTGATATTGTTTGACCTTCATCGAGATATATAAAAAATATATATTTTATTATTTATATTTATTATATTAATAAAAATATTATTTAATATTTTAATTTAATAAAAAACTATATTTATATATAATTAAGTTATAATTTATATTAAAAAAATCATTTATACAATTAATATTTTAAAACTTAGAGCTTAACTCTTTTTCTTAGTAACTATTTTTATTTCTTTTCAATTTTTTAAAAAAATTTAATTTATGTTATTTTTTAATGAAATAATGTGAAGATGGTAGACATTCCATACACCTTCTCCTTTGTTTTTTAAAGTTTTTTTATTTCATTTTTTTATTTTTTTTTAATTTGTACCTTTTTAAACTTCTTTTAAACTTTTTATTTTTTTATTTTTTAATGGAATGAAGTGATTACGGTTGGTGTCCAATATACTTTTTCTTTCATTTTTAATTTTAAGTTTTTCTTTCTTTCATTTTTTTCAACTTACAAAATATCTTTTATTCTTCTTTTTATACTTTTTTTTTCCTTTCCACGTACTTTTATCTTTATATATTTTTTATATGCAGCTCTCTTTTTTTTTTTTTTTTGAGTATTCCCCCTTGTCTCCCTTTTAACACTCTATCATTCTCACAAATAATATGCGAAAATAATCATGATGGCGAAACGAGATATGCTTCATTGAGGTCGAGATTCAATTAGAATATGTACTTATATTATTTGCCTTTAATTTGTATTTGTATTTTTAAAATATTTTTATTAGTTATTTTTAAAGAAATAGGTTTATATTTATTTATATATTGTGATAAAATATAGGTATAATTCTAATACAATTTTTTTTTTTTTTTTTTTTTACATTTTGAATAGGAGATAGTAACGGAGATTGTAGGATTTGAGCTTTCATCTTACATGTCTTACTAAATTTTCTTAACCGTTAAGCCGAAAAGCAGGGGACTAATTTTAGTAACATTTTAATAAAACATAAAAGGTATTACTCAGAGTCCCATAAGCATACGTGGCCTCAAATAAAAAAAAATGGTTATCTATTTGACTGGGCCAAAATAAAAAAAAAAACCCAAGGAGTCAATCCCGGGCCTGTTTCAAAGGGAACCGGACGCAAAGTACACAAGAAAAAAAAAATCGTTAGCGGTCGTTAAGTGCTGTGGGTCCCACCAAAGCCTCTACAATTTCTTCTCAATTTTGCCCCTTGTTCGTTCGTTTTCGTGGAAGCAGCTATGACACTCGTGGAAACGTTAGTGCTATAGTCTGTGAATTTACTTGAATTTTTGAGTTGATGGACCGTGTGATAGTGAGTCGAGGGGCGAGTCAAAAGAGCAAGCGGTTTGACGTGTTTGATTTCGCCGACGAGGAAGAGAGAGTTGAGAGGGAGTCCGCGGAGATTCTTGGAAGGTTTAAGAACCCTAAAAAATGCCGCAAGACAGCTTCTCCTCTCAAAAAATACAAGTTTCTTCAGTGCTGTAACTTTCTCTCTCTTTTTTATCGGCTGACTTGATCTTCTTGTTGATTACTCTGTTTGGTTGCCGAGAAAGTGCGGGAACGCCGTTTGGTTTATTCTAGTTTGATATCTTGTTTTCTTTTTTTTTTTTTCTCTACTGAATTTTTTAATTTTTTCTTCTATTTTGCCTCTTTGTTGTTTAAAATAGGACTTTGTTTGCATTTGAAAAAGGAAAAATAGTTTGACACATTAGTTTTCGTTTTACAATTCCTAGTAAACGAACGCACCGTAACCTAATGCATTCCTTTTGTATTCGTGTCCTGTTCACTTCTTTGTTAACTGCCTTTAGTATGTGTATCTATGTAATATTTATATGTACGTTTATTTAATTGTAGTTGCCCGGCCAAATGAAATTATTAAGACACCAATTGATCTTGACGTTGAAGGTATGGAGTAGGTTTAGGGTTAGTGTTATTTTTACTCTTTTATTCTTGATTTCTTGTGTAATATATAGCTGTTCAATCCTTTTTCTGTCTTCTTGTTCTCTAGTTGCAGATTGTAGCAGGACTAAGCAAAAGGACATTAGCAATAGACCCATTGAACTCGATTCTGAAGTTACAGAACTCAAATGTTGGTTGTTATTGTTATTGCTATTTTTCGTTTCCTTTGTCTGTTTATGCCTTTGCATGATATTTGATCTTGGTTTGGTTTCTGGGAACATGTATTTCCCTTGTATCACACAGCATATTTGTAACAGTCCATTTACCAGTGTTTCGTTCCTTCTTAGGTCCTTATTTTTATGGCTTAGAACTATTTCTTTACTCTTGTATCCATGGATCATCATGTGAGATGTAAATGTTCAATCATGGTCTCCTTGAATGCTCGGGCCTATTTTTCTCTAAGTACTTTACCTCTTATTGATTTCTCTGCATTTGTAACTTCCATGATTTGCATTTTATAATTTATTAATGGCAACTTCCATTGCTTTTGATTCTTTTCTTGCTTATTTGTGTTGGGAATCTATTTCCTTGTTATTTCACCCTTTTCCCCCTGGTGGAAGGAGCAATCAGGTGGTGGAATTAAACTTGGACTTTTGAAGGAGAGGTGTTGCTACTAGTTAGGCCTGGCCATGTTTTGATTGTTGTTATTCCATTAGCTGTTTGCATGATGATTGCCATGGGCATGTGCATTACAATGACACATTTAGTAATTACTTTTAGGATTTATCTATTGTTTGCTTTTGATAGCTTTTATATTTTCAGCCCTTATTGCTGCTGTTTAGGAATAGCTGAATTATAAATAAAGAGGTAAATGTAATTCAAATATTAGAGTAAGACAAATATATAAAATAATTAGAAAAGGTGTGGATGAAAAAATAATAGAGTTATTCTTGTATCATTGAATTACTCATGTGATAATGTTTATGTAGTGTAACGCCTCTGTTTCTTTTGTCTTTATTTATAGTTTTACAAAGTCACAAGACTTGGGAAAAGAAAAAGATTGATGGACCAATTGACATCGACACTAAAGGTATATGGCATCAGTGTACATCTTCATATCAGTGTTAAAATTTCTAATGGACATGTAACTTTGTAGAAGTGCAAGCGACCAAAACTGCAGAAAAGGGCACTGGATACAAATTTGGCGATGTTAATGCTAGTGTTACTGGTCAGCAATGCACATTTCCTTCAAACTGTCCCATGAAGATGAGACAAGAGGATATTTTCGACTTGGATACCTCTTTGCAGTCTTTTTCTTCTAGCTATAAGGTATATTTGCCCATCCTTAATATCTTGAGAACAAAAAAAAAAAAAAAAATTCAAACGGGATACATGCTTCAGACTGCAGTAAATATTTTAAACACCATTCTGGCTTATTCTCTGTGAAATATGAATCTATTGTTCTGATACTGAAATGCTTGCAAAAAAACATGTATGGGTCTTGAAACTCCCAGTTATTGTTCAATCAAAATGGATGCAGAATGAACGATTTGGTATGATTTCAGATGATGATGACAGGATCGAAATGAGTTCATCAGCTTTTGCCTCTTCTCATGTAGAGTGTAGAGGTTATTTCCTTATCCTTTTAAATTTTGCTTCATAAGTGATGATACCTTATTTTCTAAAGCTTCTCGTTTCTGCTTGTGATCTTATACAACATTCTGCTTCTTTATATTCTCCAGAGGAGCAACTTTCAGTTCATGGTTTTGATGGCCATGGAATTGTAAGTATAGTACTTTCCTTTGTATTATTAACTAAGGAATTTTACTTTGGATGGCTGTTTAGAGGGAAGTTATTGAAACTACTGACCATGTGTTGATTATTTCATGTGCATAAGGTTAGAATGTGAAAAATTGTATTGAAAAAGTGTAGCATTATGTTTTATATATCTATATGCACGCATAAAGAATTTTTTTGGTTATTATGGTGACTTCATGCATTGAGATTCTTCAATTGTCGGTGTTCTAGAAGGCCCTCAGAAATTCATTAATATGTTGACTTAACTCCTTCATTAATATGGCTATTATTTTTTTCTTGTTATGTCATGGATTTTTACATTTGATTACCAGAATCAGTTGTTGAGTTGTTTCCTGTCTATGATTTTTCTTCATATTGTTTACTAGAACGGAAGAATCATTGATCTAAAAATTATCTCTGTTTTCCACATTCTGCTAATTTTTTATGCTATTAAGTTACATTTCTTGATAGGCCTTTCTATTTATTTTTTAACTTGTAGGAAACAGAAAATGCAGAAGTTGTCATTTCCCCTGATTTTATGTTTTGTAGAGGTATTTATTGCACAGAGGGTCAGTTAACTTTTTCAAAAACCTGCCTCAAGTTTGAGGGCTTGACTGTAAATGGGACCAAGAAAAAATTTAGTTTTGTATGGACCGTTGGTGATATCATCAGTATTGATGCAGAATGGATTGAAAGGGTAAGTTACAAGAGCTGTTCTTTTTCTTTTTTTTTTTCTTTAAAATTTTGAGGATATACTCTGAGAAGATAATCTTTGAGCTTCTTTTGCTGTTGGAAATAGGTTGAAACAGCCATTATGAATCTTGTTCTACAGTCTAACAATTCTAATAGGGCTGGAAATGCAAATGAAACTTCAGGTTTGTGAATTTTCAGATATGATTTGCATTGTTCTCTTTTTTGGTATAGCATGATTTCATTATCTGAGAGAGTAAATGAACTCTAACTAAATTATGTCACCCTTTATAGCTGACTGTTTGCCTCATAACCTCGTATCTGTGTCGATTTTTTATTGTGCCATCTCAAAGAAATTGTCTTCAACTTCTATGTTTCCGATAGGAATTGTTTTAGAGGAAGCTCTGATCTCGTTTACTGATTGTTCTTTCTCATCAATAAATTTTGAACTAGGATATTCTTAATTGCTGCAGCCATTGAGTTGTTGAAGTTTTCTAATTAAATTATATCACCCTTTATAGCTGACTGCTTGCCTCATAACCTCGTATCTGTGTCAATTTTTTATTGTGCCATCTCAAAGAAATTGTCTTCAACTTCTCTGTTTCCAATAGGAATTGTTTTAGAGGAAGCTCTGATCTCATTTACTGATTGTTCTTTCTCATCAATAAATTTTGAACTAGGATATTCTTAATTGCTGCAGCCATTGAGTTGTTGAAGTTTTCAGTTTGTGATCCTTCTTGGTCTGAAAGGCAGGAAGCAATCAAATCGTTGAGTATGAGATACAAGGATATATGGAACACTGTTTCAGAGTAAATTTTCTACTGACTTAGTTTCTTATCAAGTTATTATCACATTTTTAATATAGATGTACAAAGTGATGGTTGGTTTTCTTGTATTAAAATATATAGGTATTTAATTTTGACCAGTCACATATGTGATTTTTTAGGTATCAATCGGTTTGACTGTTTTTTTTTTTTGGCTGTTGTATAGCTTGAATTCTTGTGGCTTTCACACTGTGTATTAGTCCCTTTCTCCTAGTGTAACTTCTTATTTATGTGTGAATGAGGCAAATTTCTTTTATATTTTAATTGAATAGATTTAACCATTCATGTTTTGACCCTGCAGTGAAAATGAAGAAAATACCTTCACGGGACAAAGTAGCAAGTTTTTTTCAAAGCCATATTTTTCTGAGTAAGCTGAACAAGGTTTTATGTTATTTTTGTATTTGTTGCATTTTAGACAGAAGATCTGATACTGATTGGTTTCTTAATGCATTTTAGTGGCCTTTTGTCTCCCTTCCTTACCAAAACAAAGGAAAGGATAATATAAGCTTTCAGTCAGAAGCATAATATCTCTGTAAATGTCTTTACCATTGTTTTTCTTTTAGGTAGACTATAGGTCTATAGCTATGTATGTTCCAGCCCTGCACTTCTCTTTGATGATGGTTCAAGAAGCATTAAGATATAGTCCCATTTGAAAGTGCTATTTCAAAAATTTTAGCATAGAATGAATTGAGAGGTAACCTTCAAGTATCAGTATTGTACATGCATGTTATGCCATTCATTCTTTTAACAGAACTTACTTCTTTCCTTCTTTATATATATGTGTGTGTATTATTTGGTTTTAATGCTTTAAATCTTTCAGCTGTATTTTTTTTATTAATCACTTGACACTTTTTTTGAGAATCTGCAGTCGATACATCTAACTAATTTGTTGTACAGTTTTCATGAACATTTTGAAGAAGTTATCTATCCGAAAGGTGATCCTGATGCTATTTCAATTAGCAAGAGAGATGTTGAACTTCTAGAGCCAGAGACATTCATCAATGATACCATTGTTGACTTCTATATTAAGTAAGCTAGAGATATATATTCTATATTCTATGTTTTCTTATTCAGGCTCTGAGTGTTAGCCTTTTTTAGATCTTGTATGTGCTTGTTTTTGTTCAACCTTGAGGATTGATATATGAAATATACATTTGAAATATACTAATGGGACTAGAAACATCTCTATAGCTATTCTAAAAGTTACATATTCGTATCTAGTGTATATTTTAGAAATCTCTTGTTGTCATTATCATCATGTATTCTCGATGCAGCATATTTAGTTCTTTTGACATTTTTGGAGCAGCATGCTTGTCTTTCTTCTGAAGAAATTTTAGTACTTTATAATTTTCGAAATGGTGATATGGGCTTATATAATAGACATAATTGAAATTATCATTTCAACGATCGAAAGTTAACTCTCTGTTTAGACATCATAATCATGATTAATGTCTAAGTGCCTTGTGAGAGTTATTGAGAAACCATCCCTATGTTTTGTTTGTGATCCCAAACTTTTGCATTATTTTCTTGGTTGGTTCTATTTACTGATTTAAAAGGACTGATGTTTGGTTTTATTCATTGACAGATATTTGAAGAATAAAATTCGACCTAAGGAACAATATAGGTTCCACTTTTTTAACAGTTTTTTCTTTCGCAAGCTTGCTGATCTGGATAAAGGTTTATCTAGTGCTTGTCAAGCCAGGACAGCATTTCAACGTGTTTGTAAATGGACAAAGAAGGTGGATATCTTTGAAAAGGATTACATTTTCATTCCTGTAAATTACAGGTGATAAACTCTATCTGTTTTTTTTTTTTTTTTCCATGGTATGAGAGAACAATCCTTTATGTAGTTCTCTAATCTGAGAATTTAACATATCTCCATGACAGTCTTCATTGGAGTTTGATTGTCATCTGTCATCCTGGTGAAGTGGCTAATTTGAAAGGCAAGAGCTTAATGGACTGTTTCAACTTATTGTAGCAACTAGGAATATCTCCACTTTTACCTTTTTTTCAGTTGTCTTGCAGATGATGAAGCTGAAAAATTACTTAAAGTTCCTTGCATCTTGCACATGAATTCAATTAGAGGAAGTCATAGGGGCCTTAAAAATCTTTTCCGGAGGTAATTTATTCATGATTATTTTCAAAAGCAGTTAGTAAGTGATTGCTTTTTGCTTGACACAGAGAAAACCTTTTGGGGGCTTTGTTGTCTTTTGTGTGTCTGTGTGTGTTTTCATTGGCATTATTACCCAAAATGTTACAAAATAGTTAGTTTCAATGTGTTTGTGTGAGTTTTATGCTTTTTTTCCAATCTTTCTAGCTTACTTGAGCAAAACAATATTTTGCAGAACCATAAAGGAAACACCATGAATTGCAATATTGTAAAATAATTATGAACTTTTGCAGCTGTGCCAACCCTTTTGAATTTCTTTGTGCGTGCATTCTTCCAATGTGCATTAAATACCTTAACCATCTCTTTCTTTCTCTGTTTTCAAGGAAAAGAGTAATATGCCCGACATTCTGTCATTAACTTATTTGACAGTTTTAAGGTCCAAAACATACATGTATGAAAACCGCTATCGATACCAGAAGTACCCTATTGACTTCAAACTTTTAAATTCATTGTGACTATGCAAGGGAGTTCATGAGGAAAATTATATCTATGGTTCTACAGTTGGTCTCATTTACAACTTATCATGTATGCTCTTCGCTATGGCTTTGGTCATTTATTGTACAAATGTTGGAAAATTAGAAGCTCTAATCAACCAAAGGATAGTTTTGTGATGGTCTGCAAATAATTACCCTTGTCATTGAAGGAACAGTTTAGCTGCTTCTTCTAAGATGGGTTGAGGAAGCAATATTAGACGCATGAGTAACAATCCTTTAGTGAATGCCTGACTGAACACTATACTCAAAGTTATAATTGTCTCATTTTTACAGCACCTTTCTCCTCAGCTTGTTGCATGGTTATTCTGTTATTGGAGAAGTGTCTCTGGTCACCATTAAACTCACCTAGCTATGATATACTTTGCCAGATTCCTTAGTATAGCATTTTTTTTCTGCAAAGAGTCAACCCATTTTGTTATACTTGAGATGATCATTGGAATGTTTTCCTTTTGCTTTCATCTAGTTTTTGAGATGCCATCTCTTTTCACCAATGGGGTTTTCGTCCACCAGCTACTGGGGAATGTATGATGAGAACTGGTATTGGTTTTGAGGTCCTGGCATAAGCATTTAGCAGAAGAAAGAAACAAGGAAAAGAATCATTGCATCACCTTTTATGAAATTAAAGATTTTGGTGTTAAACTTGCAAAAGATTGTAGCTATTATAGTAGAGCTGAAACTGTGAGGATCGTGCTGATTTTTTAAACTTATAATGACATGAACCATATAGCTCAGAATTCTGGCTTTTGTAGATTATGTCCTAATGATGATATCCTTCACTGTTTTATATTACTCAACAGGTGTTATCTATTTGTGAAAGTAATTGAATGAAGAAACATAGAAATTGTTGGAGAAATGATCTGGCATATGTTATTTAAAGGAGCTGTCTATCTTAAAATTGTCTGCTCTATTTGAAATAGCCATTTCTCAGGCTTTAAAAGATCTTACTGTTGATTATTTTTTCCTCATTTGTTTGTCATGAGATGACAGTTACTTATCTGAAGAGTGGAAAGAGAGGCATAGAGAGGCAGCAGATGATGTTCCTTCAAAACTTCTAAATTTACAGTATGTCCCGCTAGAGGTATTTCTTCTCTTTATATCCCTTTCTTTAAGTTCCCCAACCAAAATAAAGAGCAACGTGTTTAAAAATGCTCACTCATCGATAGGAAGTTGTTTTGGGGCCAATTTTAAAATTTCAGTACAAGGCTTAGTTTTATTGGGGAATTGAGGCTGAGGAAAAGCTCATAAAGAACTGTATTTTTGCATAGCCATGTTTCTTCTGTAGTGTCAATTAGCATGTTATGTCATTTGGTTCTATTAGAAAGCATCATTTCACATATGCCAAACTGGTTGACTGTTATTTTTTAATTTTCCTTCTGTATTATTCAGCTGCCACAACAGGAAAATTCATTTGACTGTGGCCTTTTCTTGTTGCATTATGTGGAACTCTTTCTTCTTCAAGCATCAATTAAGTTCTGCCCTTTTAAGGTAGTAGATCATCCAACTTTGTTAGTACTGTGGTGGCTTTCTACTGGACTTGAACTTGCACAATGTTATTCTTTTTGCAAGAAGTATATCATTATTTATGACTACCATTTTACTTTTTAATTTTTGCTTGGTTATCTCTGCTTGCTGCCATCTAGTCTTTCTATTGCAAATGACTTGGGAAAATAATTATTGGTGTTGTTTGCTCATTGACTGGTAACTGAATTACTAGATGAACTTGTGAATATGGTCCTCTTACTCAGCCCTGTTTCTGTCCTATCTTTCTTGAACATCACCTGTTTATCTTATGGAACTCAAACCTCCCAAAAATGCTTTTGTTTTTAACATGAAAATGTAGATAAGATTTCATATGTATTGTTCACCTTTTCTAATATTATCTTTGATCTTTTTTCAGCTTAATATGAATTGGTTTCCACCTGCTGAGGCTTCCTTGAAACGCTCTCGTATCAGGGAGTTAATCTATGAAATCCTGGAGGAACAGTCTCCTAGTTCCACATCAGTTGATATCATTTATAAACGTCCATCCTCCCTGTTACCTGGCCGAAGTGAGCAAGAAACTGGAGTACAATTTAATGAGCAGATTGGAAGTTCAACAAAAACATGTCTTCGTCATTCCTCAAATTCCAGTGTTAAGCAGGGGTCTAGCAAATTTGCACTTTCTGCATCCCCTCCTACAGTTCTACAAGGCCGTAAAGACTCAGGATTGGAAATGCTTGAGTGTTATGAGGTGGGATTTTGTGGGGGATTGCTCTCACAAGGAAATTATCATCAGATTAATGCACTCAGTAAAAGAAATGCCATGTCACCTATAGTGGTAACCTTTTGTTTCTTTATTACCAATAAGCTTAAAGCATGATATAATATCAATTTGCTAATGAAAAATAGATGAGATGCAAATCACCTCTCTCTCTTCTCTCTGTTGTATCGATGGAAATTTTACCATAGAAAATATAAGTTGAATTCTCTAGCTGTTTGTGATTGTTATGTAACCGTGTCTGCTTCCACCAAATGAAAGGAATGTTGTCAATGAGATTGAGCACGTTCACAAGATTGTGTTAATTTACGTCAAAGTTGCCGATGGGATTCTGTTAGCAAGGGAGAGTGAGAGTAAGGGAGGGACATTTAGCCCACGAATATTGACATGTAAAGGAAATGTAGTATAATTTTTTGTTTATTGAGAATTTTGGTCTGAAATAGTTGCACTTTTTTTTTTTGCTTGAAACAGGAAATAGAAGAGACAAGTGAAGAAATTGCTGCTGATTCGCCCTCAGATCTAGATGTTCAGCAAGTTGTTGGATCGGTAACTGAACCTGGCTTATTCATGCAATATCATAGAAAAGATTTCAGACTATTAAGAACATCATGGAACCAACAGACAACATTGCATTTCGAGGATTCAGCTTTTAACAAGTCAAGTGATTCCCGAGATTCATCAGAGATAGGGCTAGAAGATGATCAAGTTCTTCCAGATTTTGAGTCATATTCCCATCGGGGGGGAAATGATAAACCTGAATCTTCCTCAACCTCAAATGAAGTTTATTCTGATTGTATCGTTGAAGATTCTCAAGAGTCGAATGGCGTGCATGATGAAAGTGTGAGTATATGTTCCCCTTCGTCCTTTCAGAGGCACTTTTCTGCTCTATCCCATCAACAAGAAGATTTGACTGCAAAAGTTGATCTTAAAAGACAATAACATGCTAATGAGCGACGGAAATCATGTTTCAGAAGGCGATGAACAGCCAGTTGCAAAGGTTCCAAAGCCAGATACTTGGCCGAGGAAAGCACTAACGAGAAGCCTTTCAGAAAAGTTGCATTCGTGATGGCACTGGGAATGGCTTTTGGTAAACTGTAAAAAGATAGTAGCTTTCTTTTGGTAATGGCTTTGTTTACTCTTTGAGAAAATTATTTTATCTGATGGTTGTTGTTACGGTTGCAACTTGCGGCTGTAAGTCTTGGCTCTCAGCTCCAAAAGTTTAACGTTACAAAATTTAAAAATATATATTTTAGCTAATTTTAACTAGCATTAGTACTACACGCAAAATTGCTATAGCAAAGAAATTAGTGGATTTAATGGAAAAAATAAGAAGAAATTATGCAATTGCTAAAAATTTTCCAATAAAAAACGCAATTGGGAAATATTAAAAAGGTAAAATAAAAAGGGGAAAAGTCTAATTATCCAAAAAGTCGTGGAAAACCGTCAAAAAATACATGCGGAGAGGCTTTTTTTTTTTTTTTTTTTTCTCTCTCGTATATATATGCTACGATATAGATTTGGGTCCATTGGCAACCACCTCTCGACTCGCCAAATCCAAAAGTGCAAGGTCTCTCTGTGTTTTCTCTCGTTTGTCATAATTTCAAGTTTTCAACCCACAGAGAGAGAAGAGAAGCGAAAGGATGGGAGAAGAGAGAGTGAAAGAGGAGGCCATGCGGATTATTGGGATGTTCCAAGTTCTTCCTCGTTTGGTCGTTTTCGATCTTGATCACACTCTCTGGCCTTTCTACTGGTTTCTCTCTTTTTTCTCTCCTTCTTTTTATAATCTTGATTTTCTTTCTTTCTTTAAATATATGAACAATTTGTGTAGTATTAGGGTTTTCAAATGAATACCCACAAATATTTATCTTAATTCGTTTCATTTTAGTACTTTGATCTTAGTTGTGTATAAATTATTGTAGTAATCGCTTAAACATGGCTTAATAATGGCTTACGTGTTGAGTTGATATACGAATTCTGTTTGCGTATCCTCCGTATAAATTTCTGTAATCAGTGGTTGAAGAAAAAAGAAAAAAAGTCATATTTCACTCTTCTTTTTGATGAAATAGACAAATAGTTGACTTTTATTATGTTGAAGAATATATTCCACATCAGTTTCCCTGATTTATCACCATTAACCAATGCTTGGATCATTGAAATAAACTTGGGGTTTCATCTTATTTGTCTAACTAATAGGACTGCCTTTGTTAGTGACCTTAGTATCTGTCCCTTGCTCTGTATCTTTCTAAACTGGACAGTGAAATGACATTTTTATTGTGGAGTAGTTTGGCTGGAAAATTGTTTCTGCTTATGGTTAGTTCATGCGACTAATTTTCAGTGAGTGTCGCTCCAAACGCGAAATGCCGTCTTTATACCCCCATGCTAAAGGCATATTATCTGCACTCAAGGACAAGGGGATTGATCTAGCTATTGCCTCTAGGTCTCCGACCTCAGATATAGCAAACACATTCCTTGACAAATTGAGCATCAAGACTATGTTTGTTACCAAGGTGAGTCAGTTAGAATTCTTTCCTTGCAAAGTTTAATTCTTTAGTAACAGCTCCGGGTTTGAGGAGCATATTTACAGGCTATGTAGAAAGATATAGCTAAAAGATTATTCTTCTTGTGATCTTCTCTTAAATAAGACTATAAGCATTATTTCTTTCAGCATTTTCTTACTTTAGTGGTAGTCATTGGACCTCATGTGTAAACTATTCATGGAGGCCTTTCTTATGTATGTATTTTCTTTGTAATAATAATGGGTCTATGCTAGAGCTTATTTAGAATCAGTTGCTCATATACAAGTTGGATTTGTGTTGGCCATTACGCATTTCTGATCGCAAAGACATGAATTTCATAATATTGAACAGTAATAATTTCTTTCTGATGCTGTCACATTCAATTGTTCTTCTTTGGGATATTCAGGAGATTTTTTCAAGCTGGACACACAAGACAGATCATTTCCAGAGAATTCACTCAAGGACTGGGATTCCCTACAACTCAATGCTCTTTTTTGATGATGAGAATAGGAACATACAAGCTGTAAGAATGACTTTTCCTACGTTCTCCTTTTGCTCTGTTTTTCTTTCTGGCTTGGTCACTTGCTGATATTTCTTGGAGCTAGATAGTTGGATCTTGTACCTTTATGCATTGTGGTTGTAAGAACCTTCTACCCCTTCTTTGTTATGGTTTTGAAAAGAGCTGGTTTGAATTATGCTTATTTCACTTGACAGAATTTGTACTGACAATTGCAGGTCTCCAAGATGGGAGTGACGAGTATATATGTGGATAAGGGGGTTAATCTCGGAGCATTGAGACAAGGTTTAACAGAATTCACTGAAAATCGGAATGCATCTGAGAAGAACAAGCAGAAATGGCTAAAAAAATACTGTCAGAATTCAAATTCATCTGAGAACATCAACCAGAAATGAATGTTCTTATATGATTGTCCTTGGTCTACAGTATTATAATTCAGGATTATTTTCCAAAATTGTGTGGATATTTTTTGAACCCACATTCAGTTTATAAATTAAGATGTTCTTTATATATATATATATAATTACTGAATGTTGCTTTTTAAAGTACTTCTGTCAGATGATTCTCCTAGCGATTCAGTAGAGTATCAATGTATCAAAAATTTCAGAGAACATCCCACACAAATGTTGTGCAGTAACATTTCTTCTGGGGAGCTCATTAACCATCTGGAGCCATTCAGCCATTCTCATTGTTTGGGAATGAAAGTTTATTGCTTCTGTTTCCTTTTCATTTTATGAATATTGATTTTTCTGTGTCTACTGAACTTTTCAATGATGTATATGACAATTTCCATGGTTATTCCATTAACCATCATGATCAGAACCAATGGTCAGTTTTCCAATCTAAATTTGCAAATTCCACCCTCACCCTGTTGAAAACGAACTCTGATTTAAAGTATGATCTTTTTTTTTGGATCTTGGATCTTGAATATTACTAATTGAGAGTGGCAACTTCTAGATTTTAACATCCACGGAATGACCCTAATTTTGGGGGAAATGATTTTCATCTTATTCAATAAAAATAATATTTGTTGATGAAGTTATTAGTCTAATTAATAATTATAATAAAATATTATGTTTTATATAAAAATTAATGAATTAAATCAATCAAATCATTAATAAATAATTTGTTGATTCTAAAATTTCATGATCACAACAAAATAGTCATTTTGATAATCAAACGGATGTTAAATGCCATCTGATACATATGTGACTGACTAATAGAAGAACTATTTCGTTATGATAATGAAAATACAAAGATCGACAAGTTACTTTTGATACTTTAAGACCAAAATAATATGCCACCAAAAGTTTTAAGGATAAGGAGTTTAATTTACCCTAACAGTGGTTAGGCCTACTGAGAATCAACTTTCCCATTCCTGTTTCAGGCATCACCCCAACCTGTAAATTCCAACAATGTGAATCTGGTAATTCCAGAAGACTACCTTTCCAGAATGATCCCCATTTCTTGTATGTAACCCATAAATCTAACCTCATACCTAAATGCAACATTCCATGTTCCACTTGCTTACCTATTTCATTCACAACTTCTTTTCTTAGAATTGGTTGGTTGCCTTGCCATCCTGTATTCCCAAATTTCACATGCACTCTTTTATGTTCCTCAGCTCTTAAGCTAAAAGGCTCAATGGAAACAGTTGAAATCACGTTCTGATCATGGTCTTCATTATTATAAAAGATATAGGCCTTGATGTAATCGTAGTAAATCCCTGTGCGATCATTCCCTGATGTCATGTTGTAGTCACAGTTTTCGCATCCGAATGTGAAATCAGCTTCCCAATTGGCCGCCAGTCTGGAGTAGAAGATGGTGAAGTTGGATATGGCGAATGAGTTTGGATTGAACACTACGGTGGGTGAAGAAAGATTATATGTTAAGATATTGTATGAAATGACTAATGCAATAAATGCGAGTTTCGTGTAACTGGCGCAAGCAGGTTCGTTGTCTTGTGGAGAACAGAACTCGGAGGAGATTTCACCCACAAACTGTGGCTCCGGACCTCTTGATCCATGACCCTGAGCTGAAGGAAGCATTTCTATTAAAAAGGAGGATATGTCAGAATCATCTTCCCGTGGCAGGGGTGAAAAGGCATAATGGTAGCCATCGCCCTGTCCACTTTTTAATTTAATATTCTTGGATGGAGAACACTTTTTTTTGTTGTTGTTTTACTCTTTAATTCCTTTTTCCTGGATTGACAAAACTTGTTCTTGATGTTAATATATATAAAATAAGTAATGACGTTTGTTTCACTTTGCTGGATAAATAGGTTTAATTATCTTAAATTCTAACCATCTTTTTTCTCTAAACATTGTTTGGTAACAGAAATAGTTTTGGAACTGATCGATACATTATATTCTTCAAAATCGGAACAGTCTCAACGTTACTCTAACCCAAATCAAGTGATTAGCACTCCCAATTTTGTAAGAACTTCAATATATAGCTACGTATTTTATCATTAAGGAAAATTTTTTTTTCTTTTTTGGCAAAGAAAAGGTATTACACGATCGTATTGAAAATTTGGAATCAAATTTGTTATTGAACCAACACGAGAATTTTGGGGGGAAAAAAAAAACACTATCAAAATGGGAAGGGGAGAACAAACAATCATTGGTACGTCTATTTTTAAATTTTGATAACAAAATCAGTAAAAAAAATTGAATATACATTTTACGACAGTTCACTTTCAACGTGAAATTTACGTCTATTTTGCAATGGTTGCAGAATTTTTTCACTGTGAAAAAGGTGAAACTACAAGTGCAACAATAAACCCTTAATCTATGGTCCTTTAAATAACAAAATAATTAGGTCTATTTGTGTACTTGCTATTCATTAGACAGCTTAACAAGCAAAAGAGAGAAGAATAGAACAGAAAAAACAATCTTCATATCTTTGTCAAATGTAATGGGTTGCGAACCAATGTTAGTGAGTTGCATGCAGACTTTCTGCATTTGATGATACACCATGCATGCTGTTAGAATCATAAATCTAGAACAATATCTAGTGAAACTGATTTTCGATTCATTGTAGAACATTGGAATTCTGCTTAACAAACACAATGTAAATTGAATTCCATAAAAGAAATTCTAGAAGTAAACATTATATAGAAAAAGAAGATTTTATTGGCCAAATCGAGGCTCCCAGCATTCGTCCCGGCCACCACCAATGAGCGTTCCAACTCCTGTTGTAGCTGAAAACCTGACCGCCAAATCCCAACAGTATGAATTGACACCATGACCTGCACCATCCCACGACAGTACTCCCCATTTCTTAAATAAAACCAGATTGTCGATTTTCAATTTCAAATGCATGGTTCCATTTTTAAGATCTTTTTTCATTTGCTTCAGAATCTGTTGTTCTATCAGTAGTTTTTCACCTTCCTCTCTAGAGGTTGCAAACTTTAAATGGGTAGTCTTCAGCTCCTTCTTTCCCAAGCCAAAAGGCCCCACAGAAACCATTGACAGTATTCTCTCCTCTTTGTATAAGATGGCACCATTAATTCTACGGAAAAGAGTCACGTAATCACAGTCTTTGCATCCAAATGTAAGATCAAAGCCGATCACCAGATTCGAGTCTGAGACATTAAACCTCGAAAATGAAAATGATTCTGGATGAAGCGTAGGGGCATGTAGCCTAAATTGTTGGTCTAACAAACACGATAATATTGTTAGTACGAGGATTGGAATTGAAACTATGCCACCCAAAAGTTGTATAGTGGTGAGGATTTGGAGCCTTCATCTTCCAAATCGTTATCAATGTTCTCAGCGTCATAACGTATAGGCGAAAAGGCAAAAGGGAGCCGATCAGTTTCAGAATTCAATTGAGACTGTGCTCGAGACACCATTTTCTTCACCCTTAAGATTGTTGAGATTGTGATAAAGAAGCATTTGTGAACCTTGATGGATGATGGCATGTACTGGCCATTTACTGATGGTATACATAGAGGATTCTACTGCCTGCACATTAAGTTGGAATTGCAACCGATTGGAAGCTAGTAATTAGCAGCTTATCCTTTGGGGAAGTCACAAATTCCAAACACTACTATATCCTTTGTTGTAACTAAAGAAAGTTGTTTTACCGCTGCTAATATAGTTGAAACCAATTAAGTTGTTTTAACTTGTCAGTGTGAAGAAATGTATTGTTTATGATCATATGCTAAAGCTCAAAGTTTAACAGTTCATGGTTACACAAGCCATCAATCTACTAGAAGTTAGAGAAAATGCACGCGCAATAATCTATTGTATGTTTTGTAGAGATAATGTCATAAACATCTAATCAAACATCTAATCTTAAATATAAGTAAATTACATGATTTAGCCGAAAAATCATGAGTAACCAACTGTTTTAGATCATAAATATACAAATACAATGATCAGAGTAATAACAAAAAAAAAAAAAAAACCATATTAGAGAATTGTAATAAAAAGGAAATAGATTTAATCTAAAAATCTTTTTCCTAAAATTCTGTTTTTTTTTTTTTTCTTAGATGTAAACAAACTGAACTTCAAGCTTTTGAGGTTTTGATAATCTTTTGTTTAGATAAGCCCCCATATTTTTATTGAACTAATATAATTTTGGGTTTTTTGTATGTAAAAAAATAACATTTAATTTTTGTATGGGTTTCAGGTTTTTTTTTTTTTTTTTCCTTTTTTAGCTTTTAAAAAAAAAAATTTTTTAACAAAAACTATTTTTTTATGAAAAAGATGGTATTAAGTATACATATTAGTTCTATTAATTTATACCTTTAAAATGGAATGAAAATTTTTTTTTATGACAAAAAAAGATAAGCTATCTATAAAAGAAAACAAGATAAGGAAAAAGAAAAAAAATTACAACAGATACTGTGTTTGCAAATATTAATAATTTAGAATAATTATTTTCAAAATTTATAAAATACAAATTAAGTTGTCTTTGGAATTTTTTTAAATACAAAATTTATCGATTTATAATTTTAAAAATAAAATATTGGTACCTCTCGGAGCAAAGAGATTTTACTATTTTAACTAAAAAATAATTATATCTTCCCTTTTATAATTGTTTTTTAATGAAGAGAATAAAAGATTATGACTAAAGTAATATATCTTGCGGAAGCAGTACTTTCCTTTCAAATGCCTCCATATATTTTAGTAGTTTGGCATTTTTTGGACTATCGATGATTTAAATTTGAATGTCTACTTGGATGCTATAGATTTTGCATATAAATCATTTAAGTGATTAATGTAATTATTTTTTAAAAAAATGATATTTAATAAGTTTGAAGTTTAAAATTTTATCGTATATAATTCATTATTTTATTTTCAGATTGCAATCTCCTCTTTCTGTAAAAAAAAAAAATTGTTATTTTTTTTTAATTTATAAATTAGAAAGGGATAAAAATACCAGTATTAATTTGAGAAATATGGAAGCATAGCACTTCTCAGCTTAAAAGTTAATAAACAGACACAAACATATGGACCTATATATAAGTTTGCAAGCATGCATTTAGGAATGTTTTCGCTTTGCACACTGGAAAGGAAATCACCAAGCAATAGTCTTATAGTGGAGGAAGGGTCTAGCCAATCCATGGAAGAAAACCCAAAACCATGACTTGGAAGAGCGTTTTTCAATTGTTTATAGCATGAAATATTAATAGATATGACAAATGGGTCCCAATTTTTTTTGATTTGGTTAATGGAAAGTGGAAATTTCAGTTATGAAATATAGTGTGATTCCACCCTTTTAACTGATAAAACTTTTTCTTTCAATTCATAGAACCAATCGGTGGAATGCTAAACTTGCAGTAAGGCAATTTCTGCAAAATCTCAAGCTATTTTCTACCAAAAACTGCTGTATAAAGACTCAAGTCATTCCTTTCATTCATTTTATAAAAAAAAAAAAAAAATCAAGATATTGGCCTTAAAGACCATGATCATCAAGATTTTATACTAATTGCAGGCTCCACATTTCATTAAGTCAGTTTTCACGAATTAGGGAACCTTTTAAACAAATGCATCCAAGGGGAAACAGAAAAAAGTTCATCTATATCACCCCCTGGTTTAATCTGTAAATCTCCATTAATGCTGATCAATGACCTCGGGCGGCCTGGCACTCCTTTTGTCCCCCAACAAACAACCTTCCAGCCCCCGTTTCGGGTGCAAACTTTACCATCGAGTCCCAACAATATGAATTAACTCCAGGTTGTGAACCTCTCCATAACAAGCCCCATTTTTGGTATGTAAGGAATGTATTGATTCTCATGCCGAAATGAAACATTCCCTTTTCTTGTTCTTCCTTTATCTCCTTTAAAACACTGTTTTCTACAATGGGTTGATCACCTTCCCATCGTGAGGTCACAAACTTCAAGTGCACGTTTTTCTGCTCCTTCCTTCCCAAAGGTTGCCATGAAGTCATTGCCAACGCGATAATCCTGCTTGTAGAAAATGGTACCCTCAATGCCAGTAAAGAGAATTTCATAGCCGTTATCTTGGCTGACAAAGGCCAAGTCCAGCTCCCCAGGTGGCTGCCAACTTCGAGTTTGAGACATTGAAATTCGACACAGAAAATGAATCTGGTTGTAATTCAGGTCCTTGAACAACAAAATTAAAATCCAACATCATGAAGAATAATGGTATAATGACCATTATTGACATAAACGTGATGAACATGAAATCAGAAATACTGTCCCAAGGCTTTCAGATTCATGAACCGCTTGCAAAAAGTAGAGTCTCAAGGGGACCTTAGGGACATCCTTGGGCAGAGGTGAATATTCACATGGATTTTCAACATTTGCAGTTTTGGCTTGAGGCATAGCTCTTGAGTTAAAGAAAATGCCTTTTTTTCTCCTTTTTTCTTTCCCTCCTTTGCTTGATCGGAAGAAAAAAAAAAAAAAAAACAGGGAGTGACAAAAAATTCATTGAAAGCTTATATATGTTGGCATCTTTGAATTGTTTGTTTGTCTGAACTCTAACGTGTAGGCCAAGAATAGGTACCAGTTTAATGTTGTTCTAACTTCTTGTTTTGGTTAGGTTAGGATTTCCTAACATTAAATTTAGTAGCTTTTACAACTACGAGTTACACTAAATCAAAAAAAAAAAAAACCTTTTGCCATGCAAATAGTAAGTGTTCAAATTAGGGCAGAGTACAAATTGGTTTATACGGAAAAAATCGATAAAAATTATTTATTTTAATTTAATTAAATCGGTTTATTCAATTTAAATAAATAATTTAAAAAATATAACAATTTATGTGATTTCATTAATCGATTTTCGATATCTAAAAATTGACAATCATATAGATCGAATTAACTTATAACAATTATACAATTTTCTCAATCACCTAAAAGAAACCCTAGTTAATTATCCCAGAGATCCCCCTCCCCCATTTTGCTCACCCCAATTTGGCAATTTATCATCTGCTTCCTGCAGGCTACAACCTTATTTTTCGTTTGCGCTTTATTTCTTTCTGATATCACAATTTTTCATATCTTAAATTATATTAAAAATAAAGATATAAATAATATATTAATACTTGCAAGTCACTTGGATTTCAGTTCGATTATTATCGAGTCGAATTCGAGCTCGAGTAATTCGATTCATCGATCGAATCGAATTCGAATATTCTTATACCCAACTCGAGTAACTCGCGAGCTTAATCGAGTTTTTATATTTAAATATTTTTATTATTTTAATTAATAAAATATTTCAAATTCGAATTCAAGCACAAATAATCGAACTCTTATTGAGTATAAGAATCGAGCTTATTTTTACATATTAATCGAGTTTAATCGAGCGAGCTCGAGTAATTCGAATTCGATTACGAATCAAGCTTGAGCTAGGAAAATGAAACTCAATCGAATTTGAGCCAAGTATCGAGTCGTGACTTGGGAGTCGAACTCGAGCTCGAGCTTCTCATTATATCGACTCGACTTAATTACAACTCTAGTTGAAAATGCTCTTAAATTATAATAAAATATTTAATTTAATATTTAAATTAAAAGTTTTTTAATATAATATTTTAATTATAAATTTATTGATTAATGTAATATTTATAAAATTTTTTATTTATTATCTATTATCATTTTGAATTAATTATATTAAAAATAAATACAATATTAATTAATATCTTTATAATTAAAATATTATTAAAATTTTTTAAATTTAAATATCACATTAGATAAATATTTTATTACTAATTTAAAAGCTAACAATTGTTTCGGTCCAAAACTCAATAAAATTATTCGAAGCATTTTCTCGTACCATTAAAAAAAATCTTCCCATGAAATTATTATATCATAAAATATATGAGAAACCCATGTTTGCCTGCAAATTGCCCACCATCCATACTTTTTCTTGTAGCGAGCGGCCGTTCCACTCAAAATGGCATAAACCGTAAATATTCTTATTCATCAGGGGCCTTTTCTTAACCCTCTCATCTCCTTCTTCCTCCTCCAATCTTCTATTCTACTTCCATTCCGTCTCCGATTGCTTCACAAAAAATAATCATTTCCTAAACCCAGATTAAGAGTTTGGAAAAGATTTTCATTTATTGTTTTTTATAATTTTATATTTGTTAACGAATTCTCTTCTTAGTTTCTCCAATTGCTTTGTTTCCCTTTCAGAGAATTTTATTCTCTTGCATTTCTACTTGTTCATTTTTTTTTTTTTTGAGTTATTACAGTAGAAGTTTTTGGCAGTTTCGATGCAAAAGGAATGGAAGTTTCGAATCACCAGCCAGAATCAATGTACGGTTCAGGTGCCATGAACGTGCAACAAAACATGGACGAAGAAGACGACGACGTTACAGGGGGAGGAGGAGGAAGGGAAGAGTCGGTGGATAACCCTCAGATTGGATACGGAGAAAGCGGCAGCATTGTAACGGTTATGAATAACGGCATGGAAAAAGCTTCTCATGCCAATATTTATGGTCAAGGATCCGATTTAACCGCCGTTCCCGGTAATTCTGGCGTTGATCAGCTCACCCTCTCGTTTCAAGGGGAGGTTTATGTGTTTGATTCCGTTTCACCTGACAAGGTCCTTTTTTTTTATTATTATTAGTTTTGATTAGTATTATTTTTTTATATAGTTTTGATGCTAAATTGTTTACTTTTTGCATCTGGGTTAGGTTGATTGGATGGATTAATGAGTTTATTTGTTAATTTGACGAATTATGCAGCAGCCGTTTGTTTTTTAATGCTAATTTAGCTGAAAAGCATTGGTTTTTGCATCTATGTTCTGGTTTATATAGTCAATTACTCAATTAGTTTGTTTAAAGTAATGTGGTGGGTTATGGATTATTACCTTTACTCAAATGAAGAAAGATCCTTCCCTTTCGCCCAAATTTACATAAAGTTTTTTTGTCCAAATCTGGTTTAGTTATATCTGCTTGGTATGAAGTGCATTTATTCATTAATGATGTTCCATGTTAAAGAGAATAGACTTACCATTTGAGTTCTTGTTATGTTTTTCTTTTTACTACTTTGGGTTAATGTTTCAAATGATCCTAAATTATAGGGTGATATCTGAATTTTAAAAATCTTTAATATAGTACTTGAACTATGAATCTATTAACTAAGGTGGTACTCACTCCTAATGTGGTTACTTTCAAATAATGACACAACGAAAAACAGCTCTCCAAGGACTACATTAGTTAACAAATTCATAGTTTAGATACATTTGTACATTTCAGGTATCAAATTAAACATTTCATTATAGTTCATGGGGTATTCGTAACATTAACCATATTGCTTTTAATGTACCCTCTTTTGTGTAAAAAAGGGTTCTGCTCATTGAGACAGTTGTGTTAGGGTACTAGTGGTTGTCATTATTGAATTTGGTTTGTTCATTTTGTTGATTATGTAAGTTATATTTATTTGAAGTTGCCTTATGGCTGTTTTAAAGTGACGTTCTCTAGTATGGACCTCTCCCATTTTCTTTCTTGTCGGGGTCAGTTCTGCAAATTTAAGTGTACAGTTAGGTGGTTATGATATAAGACTGACATGGATTTTAATTGATCATGTAAAATTAATGATGTATTGAATGTTAAACTGTGGTGGATGAATTGAAGTGGTTGCTATTAGGGCTTGCAGATTCAGATATGAAGACGTAACATGAGGAAAATCATAATTTTTTGTGCTTGATTTTCCAGGTACAGGCAGTGTTGTTACTTCTAGGTGGATATGAAATCCCTTCAGGCATTCCTGCATTGGGGACAGTTCCAGTCACTCAAAGGGTAGGTTTTAGGTCAATCATCCTAGTTATCTTGTGATTAATTCTTTTAAGGAGATTCTGTTTTGTTCATATTTTTACTTCTTTTATTATGTTCTCCTAGGGCATGGGTGACTTTCCTGGGCGGTCAATTCAACCACAGAGAGTTGCTTCTTTAAACCGGTTCCGGGAGAAGAGAAAAGAGCGGTGCTTTGAAAAGAAAATCCGCTATACCGTACGGAAAGAAGTGGCTCTTAGGTATTCAATTATCAGTTTCTCTTCTTTTTCCACATTCTTCTTTCTTCAATCGGCTTGTTCTTCAAGCCAACTTTTTAACATGTCAGGTGTGGGTTGTCAGGATGCAGCGTAAGAAGGGTCAGTTCACATCATCCAAGGTGATTTCAGATGAAGTAGCCTCAGCCTCTTCAGGCTGGAGTGGAACAGGTTCTGGACAAGATGAGAACATGCAAGAAACTTTGTAAGTAGATTTTCCTATGAACAACCTTTTTTTTAATTTATCATTGGGTTGGTATTATATCTCACTTTCAAGATGTTAGTTTCAAGTTTTCACTCCAGTTATCATTTGTTATGTGCCAATAAAAGGGACTTCTATAGACTCTCTTATTTATTTTTTTTCCTCAATATTTTGCATAAATTTTCTGTGTAGATGTACACACTGTGGAATTAGTTCTAAGAAAACTCCTATGATGCGACGTGGACCTACTGGTGCTAGGACTCTCTGCAATGCATGTGGTCTCAAGTGGGCAAATAAGGTTTGTGAAATCAGGAAAGAGTTGTTCATAAGTCTATTCCTCGTTTAATTACATGAAGACTCAAGAGAGCATGCTATGAGATGATTGAAATTCCTCTAACGTTTTGTTAATTGTGTGGTCTCTGTTATTCTTATGATATTTAATCACACAAGATTATGATTAATCTTTGTGATTGTTAGAAAGGCATATCTCAACAGTATGACCAATTATCATGTGGAGCTTATTTTTAATTAGTCTAGAAGATATTTAGTCCACACGTATTATTGATGTAAACTAAAATCTTAGAATTACTTATTCTTTGTATGAAAGAAATAGAAGAACACTTACTGGCTAGATGAATCAGCCAGAATTATACTTGTTATTTTATGTAAATTAAGTAAAGACATGGTGGATACTTGTCACTTCACAAATCAGCTACTTGATCTGACATGAATAACTTACCTCCAATATTTCTTTATCCTTAGGCTTTGAATTGATGGTGAATTTGAACTTATGGAACAACTTCATAAATGGGCTTGGGTACCATACTATGGTACTATCTTGTTTGAGTTATTTTTGTCCGTGATTTGCTTTTCGTGTTTCTAAAGATTAAAGACCTCTTACAGTCCTATAGATAATTGAGTTGGTGAGAAAAATTGAGTTCCTTCTTCTATTGACAGCTTAGCGTGATGGAAGCCATGGACCATCATTGGCCTTTTAGCAACAGCTGAACATTTTGACTTGCCATCAGTTACTTAAGTTTCTTAGATGGGAGATACGGGGAACCCTGTGTTTTTGGTGCATAATCAAGCAAACCTTAAATTTATTCGAAAGCCAAAGACTAACCTTTAAGCTTTCCTTATCTGATGATCTAATGAAATATTGATCTCATAACCTCCATAGAAAGGGACAAACCATAAATTCAGAATTTTAGAAGATATAACCTTGGGATTTAGTTTTCTACATCTACTTGGTTGTTTCTGGCACCAGCTAACCTCAATTTTGATGAGCTTAAGAAGTAGATATATCCTTTAAGCAATAAGTCATGTCTTCTGAAGCTCAGTAACTTGCAGGGGATAAGTCTTAGCTCTTAGAAAATGACAATCTTCTATAATCATTTTTAATTCTTAGGTCATTCACATGGGAAGTTTTGATTTGCAGGGTGTTTTGAGAGACCTTTCAAAGGTTTCCACTATAGCAATCCTGGATCTGCCTGCAAAGACAACTGAGCAGGTACTACGAACTTAAAAAAGTTAAAATAAAATAAAATAAAACAACAACAACAACATTGATCACAGTTATCTATAACTTATTTTCCTTGAGTTATTTTCAAAGTGTTTCATGAATCTTATTACATTGTTACTTCATGGGTGTTTAGCAGAGTGATGCAGAAGCTAATGACAGTACAGACGTTGTATCTTAATCTATGGAGATACCTTCTCTGCTGTCCGTGCTGAAAGATGAGTAACAAATGCCTCCATTATGGTGAGTTCTATGCTACTTGATGTTTGAAGGCAGATGTCAACCTTTGTTATAATAACTAATTTCATTTGACAACTGTACATATGGTTCATTGCCTTTGCTCATTATGTATATCATTGCGAAATTGTGAGATACAGCCTCTGTAGCTGGGGAGTAAGAAGAAGACTTAGTGTCACTTTAACATTAGCAGTTGTTCCTTTCGGTTGCATATATGTTAAAAGTAGCAGCTTGTGCTTACAATTTCTTTTCTTATCATACTGAAGTGGAAATATTGCATTTAGTGAAAGATAAATTTAAGGCTAAAATAATTTTATCACTTTATATAAATAAATTTTTATATTTTATTGCATTAAAATAAATTTCTAATTTTTAATTTACATTCAAATAAGTTTTTAATTTTTTTTCCAGATATGCCCAGTCTTATATTAACCAATAAATTGTCCCCTGGCATTTTTGTCCTGCCAATAAAGCACATAATTCTTACAAAGTAACTATAAATTAAGTCCAAAAAACACTATGTTTGGTACAAGTTAAAATCCAACAACATGATGTTTTGATTAATAATTGCTACTGCCACTCTCGTCTCCTGCAGTTTCTCCAATTTATCCATGCCTATCACAGCAACCTCAGATAACTCACCCTCCGATTTTGCGTCTTCAAAACTAAAAAATTTTTTTTAGACAAATGAAAATTCCAAGTTTCCCAAGTTCAACGGAGGAATTCATAGGAGGAAAAGAGCAGTCGGAACACAAATGTTTCGATGAGCGGAATTAAATTTCCAATATATTTAAATTCACAGATAAAGCAAAATATTCTCAAAACTCCTTTATTTTTAATTACTTTTATTTGATTATTTATTAATTGTATTATCCGTTTTTAGGTTCTGAATTCTGACATTATCTTACTACTTTGAACATTGATACCATCACCCCACTATGAACATTGATGGGACCAGCACTAGTTCGACCAGAGCTAATATTGATGCCAGAAATGGAGGACCAGAGGAACTTGATACTTTGAGTTTGTCTACCACTATTTCCACTGGTAATTCTGGAAGCAGAAGTATTTCTTCTTCTGAGGCTATTGAATCTAGCACTGATACGGCAATGGAAGGAGTCAACTGACTATGTGACTTATCACATTTAAATCCTTTTTTTTTTATGAAAGTCTTACTTTGGAATTTTAGAGGTGCAGGAAGTGAGGATTTTTACCTTGGAATTTTAGAAGTGCAGGAAGCGAGGATTTTGTAAGAACAATCAGAGATCTTGTTAATCAACACAAGCCTACAATTATTGGTTTAATGGAGACCAGGGTCAACAATGTCAGGGCAGAGAACGTTATTCAGAGAATTGGGTTTCCTTGGTGGAAAATTGTTAACGGCATTGGGTTTGCTGGTGGAATTTGGTTGCTGTGGAATGATGCTGAGGTTGATATTCACGTGAAAGAAATAACATTTTAATCTATCACGGCAATAGTTACAAAAAATAATTCATAATGTAAGCTTACTACAGCCTATGGTAACCCAATCCCAGGACTCAGAGATGAGTTGTGGAACATTCTGAGGGAAATAAAAAATAGAACTAATATGCCCTGAATAATTGGAGGTGACTTCAACGAGATTGCGGCCTCTTTGATGAATCCAACTTTTTTAACATGGATGTAAGTCGATATAAGAGATTCCAAAAGGTGATACACAGTTGTAAGCTCATTGACTTAGGGTTTGCTGGTCCAAACTATACATGGTGCAAGTCTCCAAAAGGACGATCTACAGTTTGGGAGCGAATTGATAGAGTTTTATGTGCAACATCCTGGAAAGACTTGTATCCTGAAGCAGTTGTCCTACATCTTCCAAAGGTCAAATCCGATCATTGCCTAATTCTCTTAAACACGAAAAGTATTCTTAATCCTTCTCCTAATTTAAGACCTTTTAGATTTGAAAAAGCTTGGACTTTTCATGATGGGTTTAAAAGAATTGTACAAGAATTTTGGGATCATAATTATGATAAGTTTCCCGTCAAATTGGATAACCTAGCTACTACTTTAGTCGAGTGGAATAAATCTACATTTGGGACTATTTTCAAATCTAAACGAAGAATCCTTGCTAGAATTAGAGGGTTACAGGAATCTTTATACCAAAGCCGAAATCCTTTTCTTTGGAATATTGAGAGAAAACTCTAAGTTGACTATACACAAAGTTTGAAACAATAAGAATTATTGTGGTTTTAGAAATCAAGGGAGTAGTGGATACAGTCTGGGAACAGAAATATAAGCTATTTCCACACATTGGCTCTCGTTAGAAGAAGAAAAACAGGATAGCTGCCTTAAAGAAGCATGAAGGACAATGGATCACTAAAGCTGACAGCCTTAAAGAATCTGCTCTTAATCATTACAAGGTACTGGACAATGAAACTTTGTGTGATATTGAAAAACTTGAGATCTCTACTGCCTATCCGAAACTCACGAGAGTAGAATTAGAAAATTTATATGGATTAGTCAGGGATGATGACATCAAAATGCACTTTTCAGCATTGGACCACGTAAGGTTCTTGGACCTAATGGTTTCCAAGCTTGTTTCTTCTAAAAGAATTGGGACATTGTAGAAGAAGAGTTGTGTAAGGTGATTCATGAAATTTTTTCATCTGGCTCCATTCCTGAGGGTCTCAATAGAACCCTCATTACCCTCATCCCTATAATTAACCATCCTGAAAATATAAATCAACTTCGCCCTATCAATCTCTGTAATGTGGTATACAAGATGGTCACTAAGATTTTGGTGGAAAGAATTTGGACTGTTCTACCTACTCTCATTGGTCCCATTCAAAGCAGCTTTGTTCTTGGACAACATATTGTTGATAATGTGGTTATTGTGCAAGAAATGATTCATTCCTTAAAAAAGAAAAAAGGGAAAACTGGTGCAGTTGCATGGAAGATCGATCTTGAAAAGGCGTATGACAAGATGTATTGGCAATTTATTCATGAGATTCTTATGGAGATTGGTCTGAATAGCTCTTTTTCTTTCCCTTATCATGTCCTGTATCAGATCAACGACTTTTCAATTGCTTTGGAATGGTGAAAAAACTGAAGAATTTCAGCCTACCAGGGGATTGAGGCAAGGAGATCCACTATCTCCATATTTATTTGTCCTTGGAATGGAAAGATTATCCCACATCATACTAGAGAGAGTTGAAAGGAAAAAATGGACACCTGTGAAAGCTTCACGTAAAGGCCTAAGCATTTCCCACTTATGTTTTGCTGATGATTTGGTGACATTTTCTCTAGCCAAAGAAGATCAGGTGGAAACTGTTAAAGAAGCTCTTGAAACCTTCAGAAAATAGTCAGGACAGACGGTTAGTTTCAACAAGTAAAAAATTTTCATCACCAGAATGCTCTGGAGAGAATAGCAAGGTTACTTAGTAATATCTCTGGCATTCCAAGAAACAATAATCTGGGAAAGTATTTAGAAGTCCGTATCATGCATGAAAAAGTCTCAAAACGAACATATTGGAACCTTGTTGAAAAGGTTCAATCCAGATTGGCTAGTCGGAAGATTAATAAACTTTCCTTAGCAGGTAGAGCAGTCTTAATCCAAGCTGCTTCAGCCCAAATTCCTATATATACCATGTAAACGACCAAAGTCCCTAACTTCATTTGCCAGCATATCGACAAAATTAATAGGGATTTCCTTTGAGGCAGCTCACTGGGAAAGAAGAAAATCCACCTGATGAGTTGAGATGCAGTATGCAAGCCATAGGCGAACGGAGGACTAGTTCTCAAGAAAACTAAAGAGATGAACCTTGCCCTTTTAGCTAAATTGGGATGGAGACTAACCACTGAAGAAAATTCTATGTGGGAACAACTAACTAAAGGAAAATATCTGCATGGCACCTCCTTGCAAAATTGTAAGAAAATTGGGAATGACTTCTATACCTGGAAAAGTCTTTTGCATGGTAAACCTGATCTTGAGAATGGACTGAAATGGAGAGTTGGCGAAGGGAGCATGATTGATTTTTGGGAAGACTAGTGGATTGACGAACAGCAACCTTTGAAGAATCGTTTTCCAACAACTCTTTCCTCACAGCCAAATAGCAAATTAGTTGGTGATTTTATTGTTAATAGTGAATGGAACCTTCATAAACTTGGTATGTTCCTGCCTCCTGAAATCATTAATCAAATATCTGCTATGCTTGTGGGCTTCAATAATAGCCAGTTCGATAAAATAATTTGGAGTCTCACTTCTAATGAAAATTTCTCAATTAGATTCGCCTAGTTAAGCCTGTTTGAGAATATTAGTGATAGGAACCTCTTGTTTATAAACATTTGGAAGATACAAGTGGTGCCCAGAAATTAAACATTTCTCTTGCTTGTTTCTAATGATAGAATACTATCCAATGAAAATAGAAAGAAAAGGAATTTGATAGAGGATGGTAGCTGTAAAATTTGCAATGCCTCGGTGCAGTCCAGTTTGCACGTATTGAGAGATTGTGTTGAGGTTAAACATATTGAGAACAATCTTTTTAATCTTCTTCAACAAAATTCTTGCTGGAGCTGTAACCTTTTTGAATGGGTTAATCTTAATACTGTGGACTGGAAGAAAAAGTATACAAGGGAATGGAAGTAACCTTCTGTATTCTCTTACACCTATTGGTTTCTTTGGAAATGGAGAAACACTTCTGTATTCTAAGGGAAAGTCTCCACAAATGCCCAGAAAAAGGCAACCATCTTTAGAGCTTTTAATGAATGGGCAAGCTACATAAAAAAGGATCAATGCAAAATTTCCAGAACTGACGTTTTGAGGCATGAGAGAGACCAAGTGAAGGTTGGGTTAAGCTCAATATCGATGGAAGTTGGAATCAACAAAACAACGCAGCTGGAGGAGGAGGCTTGATAAGGGATTCTTGTGGCGAAGGGAAGGCAGGTTTTGCATTTCACATTGGCAAGTGTTGCATTGATCTTGCATTAAGTCTAGGCCTTATATCAAGGTCTTATTTGTGCTAGGACTTAAGGATTTAAACTCGTGAAAATTGAGTCAAACCCCATAAATACTGTTAACACGATCAAGAAAAGAGTCCATGAAAATCACCCTCATTTTAACCTCGTGCGGGCTATCAAAGATCTTCTCCAAAAAGAATGGTACTGAAAAATCTCTCATATTCATAGAGAAAGGAACAACGCCGCGTATTGGCTAGTTGGTGTTGTTGATCTGGTGTACCCGACCAAAGATTTAAACTGTCTTACTAGCTGATCTTGTTAGTGTTGGCTATCGTACGAGTATTCCAATGTAACATCTGGGCTATGCCCCCTTAGCACCAAAAAAGTAAAAAATTTAGACAACCGATTTTCACTCTTCAACCAACTGCTTCTTTCTCTAATTTAAGAAAAAAAAAACCACAATCGCAAAAAGCTCCTTAAAGTAGATGCTGAAAAACATCACCTGTGACCATCCCACGAATAAAAAAGCACCAATTCTACGTTGTAAATCAGAGAGAAGAGGAAGAAGAAATGAAGAGGAGAACAGAAACCCATTCGTGTTTACACAAGAAACCCTCGCACAACAATCAAAAAGAGGACAAACTTCTAAGTCTTATATCATGCACAAGATGGTTGAAAGCTGCACCTACAATATTTACAATGAAAATAACAGTTTGATGATTGCTTTTCCTTTTTCATTTTAATTTCAAATATTCTTCCCATATTATCAAATGCAAAATTGTAATTACACGTTTCTTTACAGGCAAAACCAAAAACGTGGAATTCAAACATCTCATCAATACATGAAATACCATTGGATACAAACACCATGGCTAGCATATGGGCCGTGTTTAATGCTTGATGACAAACAAATATGTGGGGAAAAAGTGCAAAAAGAAAAGTTATAGAACGAAAAAGCTATTGTTTCTGACTCACTCCCATTATTCTTTCTGGAGCGAAAAACAATGTGATTATAACCCTATATTATGCTAACAGAACAAGGAAAATATATCAACCAAAAAACAAATGCATAATAGCTGACTTGGAGATATCTAGTTAGAAAATAATAGCAATTTACCAATACGCCAGCTTTGATTGGAGGAATTCCAAAGAACTTCAGGAAGAAATTAGACTAAGCAAATCAAATGAATATAATGCCTCCATATTTGATAAAAAGAAACTTGGACCAAACTGCACAATTGCACATTCAAAATGGCTTACAGATCAGCTGTCGGATAGAGGCCTGGCATGTAACTACGTCCATTTCCATTTGAATCCGCATTAGCAAACAAGTGTGACTGTAGTTCCCCTGAGTGAGATGACTTGCGAGATTTTGGATTTTTAGGAGAAGCTGCAAAGGAATCATTTGAACCACTACTTGTAGAATACATTGATGATGTTGGCAGCCCATGGATCTTTGGCAGGCCTGTTGGATCAGAACCTAAACTGTATCCCCTCTCAACTGTTTCGGCTTCCAACGGCAATTCGTCCAATGTCTATTCAAAGGGATTTTAATAGAAAAAACAAAGTAAATGTGACTGCAACTTCCTCAGGCACTTTATGTTGTGATTCAGTAAGAAAACAAAAATTAAGAATTAGTAGGGCGTCAGGTAATATGCTGACATGCATGAAAACACGGAAAAACATTTGACATCTGCCCTCTTAACATATATATGAAAACTGTTGTCAACATTCTAGAGGTTATGATATATATGTTGACACGCAGTCAAGAGAACCCACCCTGAATGCCTGTTGGAGAACCCGGAGTGTTTCTCGAGTACGTTTTCTCTTTGAAGCAATCTCATCGGGTTCCTGTAACATTTCTTCAAACAGGTTTTCTCTGTGTTGGATCACAAGACATAGAGGATACTCAACAGTCAACAAAGAGATTAGCAAAAGGATAAATAATTGAAAGAAATTGAAATAAAGTCAAATGGCACAAAGCTCTAGATCACCTGTAAAGCTTTTTGATAAAAACATTGTGAAGTTCACCTTTTGTATGGTTTACCTGGACATAGATATCATCAACAGGAAGAGATTAACACTCATGCAATGCTTTGGCTTAACAATGCAATATTGCACCACAAACAATTCTTAGGAAGACACAGCTTATATTTACAGGAAATTACAACATTTTCAGGTTCCAATATAAGAAATATATGGCAAACATAACCTCTTAAAGCTCAAGCAAACTTTTTGACCAACTGGCTAACTCCATACTTTAACAACTATAATTAAAAACAGACCAACCACACACACACACACACATATATATATATATAAACGGTAACCTCGTTCAAAATGCATGATATATGCTTCTCTCCAGATTAAAATAGTGGATGATGGAAAGCAACATACTTAGCACCAACTCTTGTTTAGGTCAAAACCACAAAGTAGTTAAACTGATGTAAGGTGAAAAATGGAAATTAATTTGGCTGGAAAGATTTACAATGTCCTAAATATAACATAATGCTTTTCAGAATTTCATAGGTACCAGGAACTTGGCTGTGAACATGGATAAAATAGGGGAAAAAAGCACAAAGAAACATAATTTGCAAATCTACTCATCAAACTTACCAAGAAGTGCATAATTGCTTTAGGCACAGAGTCCTCTACATTCTTCCTAACAATGTCATAATATGATCTTAGGAGCAATTTCGTGATAGCAATTTCAATAGCTTCATTCTCTGAACGGTCTTCTGAAGGCCTCAAAACAGGTGGGGGCTAAAAAGAATAAAAATCATGCATGTCAAGATCGAATTAACACTATTTAAGTTACCACAGGATCCTTGATGGATTATCTGATGTGTACGCACCTCTCTCAAATGGATCATGGAAAAGGCCTGTTCCATGTTATGAACAGGTTCACTATATGGCTTGTTTGTCAAGCTATCTTTAACTGGTGAACGGTTATCACTGCCACCAAATATAGATGAAATACCCCAGGTTGAACCACTTGTGCTTCCTGATAAAACCCACATATAGAACATCATTTATTCCTATAATGCTTGATAATTACATATCAAAAAATAGGGTGAGCAATATCAAAAACACATATTCAACCTTTCAGAAAAATTGGGGGGGGGGGGGGGAAATGCTCAATACTTGGCTGTCTTATCACGCAACTATCACAAAGAGAATATCAGATATTAAAGGTACATATTTAACAAATTAAAAATGGCAGCCTAAAATGCATTACCAGTGGATGGAACTTTCTCAGCATCTGCAACAGGACGGACTCCCTGAATACCAATGGAGTAAAAAGTTACAAGTTCTTTATCACAGAAAATAGACATGTGGGGGGGAATTTTGAAAAGCAAAAAGGAAGGTAGGGAAGGAAAGCATATATTGGGCAGCAGAAACACAAATTTTCTTGCCTGATCAGCCATGATTCCATTAACTTGTCTTGCAAGAATGGCCCGAGATTTAATACTTCTTTCAGAAGTAGGCACCTTGTCAGGCTCTAAACCATCCTGATTAAGTCAACAAATAAACAGAGAAAGAATAAAAATCAAGAGGAATTAAGATTAAATAATAGCAATGATACTAGTGAAGTGACTATTAGTAGAGACCTACCTTTGATCTAGAAGATATAGGCAACGGAACCCTGGAATTCTTGATCTGCTGACTGGCAAGCTCTACAGCCTTGCTCCCACCAATAAAATTTGGGTGGGAAGTATTTATGTAATCCATCTGCAAAAATGAATGGCTTATCACAATTCACAAAAAAAAGCTAAAGATCTTTGAAAAGAACATATGAATATAACATGTATCGCACAGCAACTGAAATGAGTTCATAGTTTATGACAGGATTAGGAATAGAAGCATAAAATAATATAACAATAAAAAGCAAAAATATACCTCCATTTCAATAATATGTCCTATCATTGTCTCAGATGGTTCTAGGCCTTCTCGGAGGAAGTTCCCAACAACTTGATCCATATGCTTTCTCAAAACAGGAAACCGCTGCAATTCATTCACCATACAGCGATGGCTAATCTGGAAAGAGAAAAATTCTATTACGAAGATCGAGATTGTCAAGCAATAGAGCTGTGAGACTACAATGATAATCTGGAAGATAAAATTACCTTTATTAACTCATCATATATGAACCTGGCACATTGAAGGCTTGGATCTAGCAAACGACCTATTTGCCTCCGAACAAGTACTTCAAATGGGACCTAAATATATAAGATGAATCATAACAATATGCACCAAGTTTAACATAAAACAATTCCAGGCAACAATTTGGAAACAGCAATTTATATCTGTATAAAAACAAAATATCCCTAGATTAAAAATTAAAGTAGAAGCCACTAGAACCTACTTCTGGTACAAATAGTGCAGATCGAGGACCAGTTGCATTCTGAATGGCAGTTCGAACGTCATCATCAGTCAAATCTTCACATGGATCAACCTCCTGTACAACAAATCAGTTAAAAGCAAACTCAAAATCTGCACCAGGCAAAACTATTTACATAAATGCACTGGCTCAGAGGTACATCTGTGCATCAACAATTTCTAGAGTTGCAAAGTAAGACTCCTAATGTATGTATTTTACATGAAGCAGTAGCTCTAAGCAAAAGATCAAAAAGTTATATTTTATTGAAAAAAAAAAGAGGGAAGGTGAGAAATTGCTTTCACTAACATCATGAAAATAAATAGCCATCTATTTTGATGAAGTTATCATTTTTTCAAGCTGTACATGCAAAGACTATGCACAAAACCACTGTGGGAGGACTGAAATGCACGTATCACCGGAACCAACAGAATTGTTAATGATAAAAGATAGTAATTAATAACCAATGGTTTGTAAAATGATATAAATAGTAATTAATGACAACTTTTGTACAATGAAGCAAAGAAACGCCCTAAGATGAAGAGATCTATAAAAAAACAATGCACCTCTGACATGGAAAAGAAGGAAATCTGGCAAGCAAAAAATTCCTCATAGTGAAAGGGCATGCAAATATCAAACGCACAAATGTCAGTTTACACACCTCTAAGCTCTTAACAAAGATTGATTGAAAAATATAATGAATCCTTGCTCCACCAGACAGTTCAGATGTAGACATTTCTTCATTTTTCCCCTCTACCATTGATGAGAATGCTGTTTCCAACAAAGCATTGATTCACAGTATCATTACAATTTAGTAGAATGTATATAGTAGGCGTATTTCAGCATATTAATTAGAAAAAAAGAAACAATTTACAGACAACCAAACAGAACGTTTACCCTCACAGTACTTTGAAAGAATATTCAGTAGAAGAGCCCCCTGTCCAGCCTATAGGTTACAAAACCATAATCTTGTAATGAGAAAATTATTTCAGATGCTTTTACTCGACCAAGTTCATGGTAAACAAACAAATACACATGCCTTTGATTCTGTGATTTCTCCATAGCTTGCATGCTCCTTTGCCACAGAAACCAGTGCAGAACTAATGCGTGACTTCAGCCCAGGAAGTATTGCTTTGATATGTTGTACTAAAATCTACATAGGAAATAGCATAGAAAGACTCAACAGGAAGATAAAAGAAATACAGAAATTCCCCCTATGCTAAGCTGTACATGTCTCTTTGACATGCACAACTAAGTTGCAACACAGAACTAAGAGAATCGCAAATAAGTCCTCAACCAGTATAAAGCCTTCAATAGATCCTATAAGCATGAAGGTGACTTGCTTCAGGTACAAGGACAATAGAAAACAGGAATGCTCAAGATATAACTAAGCCAACAGAAAATTGCTCCAGATAGAGCATAATGATGCAAGTTTACAACAGGTCCATGTTACAATCTGGTCAGAAGTAAATGGAACCTCTTCTTTTTCCGCCCAATGCATTGCACAAAGAAGGGGGATAAATAGATGGACTAGGCAAAGTAAATATTTATAGAAAGTCTGAACAATAAAATGAAGCATTCAAAATTTTGAATTAAATTTTGAATTAACTCCATAAAAGTTTTGGAAACTCCATCTTGAAAATATTTTACCTGGTTCAGCTTCTTGGCCAACTGAGGTACACCACAACGATCAGCTAGACCATTATATACCTATGTACGAGGAAAAAGAAATAAGCAAATTGATGATGAGAACTGTATCAAACCATGAACAATTGCAAAAGGTTGGTACAGCCATACTGGACGACTTCGGAAAAACTTTTCCTCTGCCACAAGGGCATCCTTGATACTTCGGTTGAGTAAAATATCCTGCTTATAGGACAATATTCAAGGTGCAATCAAAATATCAGCACACTAGTAAAATAGGAAACCTGATAAGCGGTATACAATATACAAGTAAGAGGAAAAAAAAGTCATTCAGAGCAACTACATGCGGAAAATTTTCCTAAATGAAATAGTAGCATAGTTGAAGCAATATGATAATTTACTGAAAATTGAAATAGCTTTTAGTTGCTTTTGTGGAGGGAAAGAAATAAGAGGGCTTTGAGGTAGTAGAGTTACCCATATAGAGCTCTTGCAAACAATGGTTTTTTACACTCCATTCCCCGTCTAGTAACTGGCAATTTTCAGAAGTCTAAATGGCCTAGTCTTTATTGATATGCTATGCTGTAAAAATCAGCCATGTACTTGGCTTTCTCACCCCTTGGAACATTTCAGTGATTCTGTTTTAATTCCTTTGACTAATCATCTAGGTTTATCAAATTCTCCATTTTATTCTATGCTACATTTTCAGGTTGCCTAAAAACATAAAAGTTTTGAAGATATTACACACCATTTTAAGGAGACAGTGAAGTGACAATAGCATATGACCACAAAAAGAAAATGACAGGGCATGAAAACAGACAGGAATATCTCACCACATAAAATGGCATAATAAATTAAAATGTGTTCTAATAATGGAGCAATATGAAGAAAAACCAAAATTCCATTAGAGCATTTCAATGTAATGACTACAGTGTAACATTTAAGAAAAAAATCTAAAAATGATAAATCAGCCATAGAACAATATACTCAGAAATAATTAATTTAAAAAGAGTAACAAAAATACAAATTGATGGATTACTATCTTCATTCCTGTAAGATTACACGGTTACCTCCTGACTACGATTCACAACACCTATGTAACCAAGTCGAAGAGGAATCACTTTTCCAAGCAACAAGTTACGAGCATCAGTACCTCTGTCCATTATATCCAACTGATTCATGTACAAATAAGCCAAAACTAATCAGAAACCTAGAACAGCTTATGGATAAGAAACGTCACAATTTAAAAAGGAGATTTTCAAATTAGAAGATGCACCTTTGTAATAACACCAATGGTTCTATAACCTGCCAGCGGAAAATTAGCAAAATGATTCAATTAAATACACATCAAACAGCAACTCAATGCAGAAATTGGGATTTTGATAGTAGAAATTACCATCAGGATCAGCATTTCCTGCAATTTGAAGAGCATCAGAGTTTGCTAAGTCTGAATTTGCTGGAGTAACAGCAAGAATCAGACAGCTTGGCTGTTTAATGTATGACATGATCATTGTTCTAATTCGAGCTTCAATATCAGAGGGCTGGTCACCCACAGGAACCTTTGTGATTCCAGGAAGATCCACAAGAGTAATATCAAGAACATTTGGTGAGAAAATCTTAAGTCGAATCTGCTTGTCTGAGACACCTTTGTTCCCTCCAGCCTCCCTATCTGTCTCAGCCTGCAGTCAATTTAGATTTATTTAATCTAAGGACATTTTAGATTTTTTAAATACTTATGAAAAAACCCTCAAGGCCACAAATTATAAACATTCTTTCTTGATCTAATAAAAACTATTATGACTTACAAGCAATAAAAGGGTAGAGCTTGTCAGAGACGTAAGGGGAGAGAGAAGAAATCTAGCTAAAATGCTTAGCCAAGAAACTGTAAATTAAGTGTTTCTCTTATCCACTCAGTGAATCTAAGGCCTAAAGACTCTGATGTAGAGAAATCAATATCATTGTCACCTGAAGCCTAATTATTCCTTTTGGCAAGCTCAATTTCCCTAATCACAACTTATTGCGCCACCAACAACCGCAACTTGATTATTTCACATATCATCTAATTAATATCTTTCTCGCTTCAATATTTATCTCATACTCTTACTACTCTTTAAGCAAAGGAAAATTCAAAAATGCCTAACTTCAAAAAAATACATACTAGGAACCCTAACTTTCGAATTGAAGGACCTAAAAGCCTAACTTCTGAACCTCTCAATCAAAAAGGCAAGCAATAAACAACCTGAATCTCCCTGCGAATCTCAGAGAAGTCGTAAAAGCGCTTGCCAGGCAAGTGAAGAAACTCGCCATACTCCTCCCCAGAGCCATCAGATTTACGCTTGGTCTGAAGGAGCTGGAGGACGAGGGGACGGCGCGTGCAGATATCGGAACCCCGAGGCAAGAAGTCGCGGCCAACGAGTGACTCAAGCACGCTGGACTTTCCACTGCTCTGGCTTCCGACCACCGCCACCTGCGGCAACTCTATGGTGGACTGGCTACCAAGCTGAGCGAAGATATCCTGCAGCTTGTTCACTATCGGTATGACGGAAGATCCCAATGGAGCCGCTGATGATGGAGGCGGCGTTGATGCTGCTGCTTCTTCAGCCATTTTTTTTTCACTGATTAATCGATTGATGAAAAAGATTAAAGATTTAGATATGAAAAATTTATGAACCCTAGGTTTTGTAAATTTTTTTATAGAAAAAGCTGAATTTTTTTTTAAATGTTTTGTGATAACTAAAATGAAAAAAAAAAAAAAAAAAGATGACTTGAATCTTTTGATTGTATGATTAAAGAACAAAATGCAATTGTGGTTTTGAACAATTTTTAGGATTCTTTTAAATTGAATTATTGGAGTATTTTTAGATATTGCTACTACTGTTAAGTATTATTAATTTGTGATTCGTACAATATACAAATTATTTTTATATATAATTATACATATAAATAAGTATTTTAATAAAATAATATTAAATTTACATATTATATTCAATTTATTTATTTAATAAAACAAAATTTTTGTCAATAATTTCTTTTTTTTTTCTTGATCCAAAATTCAAATTTTATCAATTTGATCAAAATTTATATTGAATTTGTTTAATTATGTTCTAATATAAATATTGATTTATTTATTTGTTTAATTTAATTTGATGATTTTCTAATTTGATTGTAATATTTAAACAATATTATTGTTAAATAAAAAGAAAGTTGAAATTTATATTAATTCAACGTTCTTCATCAATTTTACATTATTTATGTTTATTTTAGTTAAATATAACTTAATTTATTTAAGAACATAATAAATTTATATATTAGGATCATAAAAGTAATGTAGATATATTTTTGGTACAATTTCAATAATATCTTTCAATAATATTTTAGCAAATTTAATTCATAAAAAAATGTAAATAAACTGTTTTTTCTTCTTTTTTTTTTACTTTTCTAAGAAAAAAATTTTAAAAAATTATTTTCAATAAATGATTACATGTACTTTTTCATATAAGTTAAATTTATTGTTACTCATGACAATTTATTAATAAAGTAAATCGAGTTTAAAAGAAAAAAAATATATATATAATCATAATTTATTATATATGTGCTTATGAGATATAAGTTTACAATTTGGTTGTTGATGGTTTATAAAATAATCTCATAGCAAAACTGATCACTATAATAAATTTCTCAATTAAAATCAATATAATTCTTTGGCTTAATATAGAAGAAAATTATGTAAAAGTAACCCATTTGGCATAATAGTATTCTACTATCAAATTATAAAAAATTTATATATATTATCAATTTGCTAAATGATGGGTTGCTTATTAATTAAATGCAAATGTTAAAAAAAATGTAATGAGATCATATTATTAAGAACCTAATATTTATGATATTGAATAAGAGAGAAAGTAATAATAGAATTTAATAATATATTTTGAATTAATTTAGTATTTAATTTAAAAAATTAAGAATTAAATAAGTTTCTTTCATCTAATTCAATTTTAAATGTTTAAAATTTTCATTGAAGATGATTAAAGAAAATGCTTATATATTAGATGTGTTGGCAAATTTGGTTTTTAAATTTAAATTTAAAAAGCATATAAAAGGTAATGTAAATTGGTTTTAAAAGGTTAATTAAAGAGAAAATTAATTGGTCTGTTTTCAATTAATGGTTTTTATTTTTGGAATATATCATGAAAACATATCATCTAAATTACGAATAATTGTTGATCATTTCTCATAAAATAATTGATTTTTTATAAAATTACTAGAGGGGATTTAAAATAATTGATTTTAAATTAACTCATATTTTGACTGTTTTTACTTTATTACAATAATCTTATTTTACGTTGAAAAGTCTATGTTTAACATTTTGAAAAGTTTTTATTAAAAAATAAATAATTGTGCCTGTAAATATGTATGATTGCCAATAGAAAGAAATATAAAAATTATATATGTTTGCAATTAATTAGACATTTTATTTTTGGTTTGAATTTCTAGCATTATATATTTGGCTTGTATATTCCTTTAGATTAATAAATACATAAATTATTTCATAATTAAACACTAAAATTACAGTTATTAAATAGCTAATGCTTTCAAAACATGTTTTTTATTTATAGTGTTCATGTTTAATGTTTAAAATAAAAAATTGAATTTTTTGAAAATGATTTAAGGTAATTGATTTGTAATATATATTTATAAAAGTTAAGAATATTTGATTTTTATAAGAAAATAAATATACTTAATTTAGTCAAAATAAATCTTTTAAATAAATAAAATTTATGTGAAATTAAATCAAAATAATTAAATGCAATAGACATGAAAAATTTTCAAGATTGTTCACATGTCAATAATATAAGTTACCCACATTGAATAATTTCCATTTTTGCAAAAACTTTGGCTTTTATATATTTATATAAGATTATAAAAAAATTATACTAAAATATATAGTTTATAAAATTGTTATTCTAAAAATAAAACCTAACAATTACACAAACAAAAAAATATGAGTAAAACCTCAATAAACTTATAAAAGAATAACAAGCAAAACTATAAAATAAATTTCTTACAATATAATAGAGACAAAATTGCAATAAAAAAAATTTAAAGAATAGTAAATTTTGTTTTATGTAATATTCTTTTTGAAAAAATATTTTTATTTATATTGCTCTTAAGAGATATTATCAATAATGTATTAAAAAATTATTATTATTATTAACCATATAATATAAAAAGTAATAAAAGAAATGAAATTAATGTGATTTTTCTTTCAAAATGACATAATTCTTGCTTAATTTGTATTTAAAAAGAAAATCTTCCATAACTAATGATATCATTATTGTCAACCCATTAAATGGCTAATTTCTCTTTCCTTATTTACTACATTAAATTTCATTTAATTTTTGAGTAATTAGATGATATGAAAATATATTTATTAGTAATTAACTTTTTATTTAGTTTCTATATTTATTTTTATTATTGGCCAAATTAATTGTAACTTTTTCATATAAGGTTAAAAAATTGGATATTTAAAAAGTAATAAATGAAATTAATTTAGTCTAACTAATTATTTTTAAGTAATAAAATGTTACTATAAAAAATAATAAAAATATTTTAAATAAATAAAATCCATTTAGTAGAAAACACATTGTGGTTTTTAAAACACATCCACATGTCAAAATTATAAGCTATTCACATTGGACTATTTTCTTTTTTATAAAAAATTTTGATTTTTATATATTTATATAAAATTTTATATATTACTACAGTATATGAAACTATCTTTAGCTTTCTAGTTTAGTGGTTAAAAAGATGTAACGGTTTCATTGTTTTCATTCTTATTTCTTATCTAATAGCAAAGAACAAAAATAGTATATGGGGATTAAGAGGAGCATATTAATTATAATTATTATGGTATAATTAAAATATAATATTTATAGTTTTAAAAAGTTATATATATTTTTATTATGATTAAGTAATTGTAAGATTATAATAAATAGAATTGAAATGCAATCAATTTGATTCATTGAATTGATTAAATCCAATTAAATTGGTATGGTTTGTTGGGTTTTAATAATGATTAGTTAAAAAAAATAGTTTAATTGATTAAAAGATTGATATTTGTTGTTAAAATTAATAATTGAATTCATAGAATTAATTAATTTTGTAATAAAATTGCAATTGTAAATATATTATAATATAAATATATAAAAATATTTTTTATTCAAATTTTTAAAATGATAAATATGACATTAATGATAAAACTATAAGATAAGTTTTATTGGATAAAATTATTATAAAATTATTATTTAAAATTGGTGATAAAATAATGATAAAAAATTCAGTTTTTTGATGGAGTGGATTAATTTATGTTGGTTTGATTATTTTGGATTATTAAAAAAAATCAATTTTTGATTATTTTTTAAAAAAGGTTAATTAAATCAATTTTTTATTTTAAAATGGAATTTATATTTTAAAAATAACAAATATAGCATTAGTGATAAAATTATAAAATTAGTTTTATAGGGTGAAAGTTGTTACAAAATTATTATTTAAAATTGGTGATAAAATAATGATGAAAATTTTTTATTTTTCGACTAAATCAATCAACTTATATCGATTTAATATTTTCATTTATTAGAAATAAATCGATCAATTTTGATTATTTTTTAAAAGATATCCATTAAATTAATTTGTGATTTTTAAAATTGAACTTTAATTTTACACATAATCAATGAAATATCCCATTATTTAATCGAATGGGATGAATATTTTTAAATTTTGATTAAATCTATGCGCAATAAATTAAACTGAAACATAATAATTTCAAAACATTCACATAAATATTATTGTTTATTGGCCATTTTCATTATTACCCTAATAAATAAAGTAAAGTTACATTATTATCTTCAAAATTTGTGATTATGTAGTGTTTAACTTTTTATTTATCTCAAGATTTTGGTTATTTTATGGATTTATAATCATGAAATAATAGTAACTTGTGGAAAACAATTAGGCAAATCTCACGTTCAAATTCATTGTAATTATTTTTTACAAAATTATTTTCACTTTATCATAAAAAAATCAATAAAATGTGCAGTATTTTAAATTATATAAAACTTAAGTTAGTAGTCAAGATCATGATTTAATTTAATTGATTCATTCAATTATTTTTAAAAAATAATATTTATTAAAATAAAAATTTTAAATTTCAATAACTACATCCTTTTCCTTTATTTTTAAATTGCCAAATCCTTTAAAAATAAATTTATATCTGAAAAAAATATATCCATAGAGATTTCTATTTTGGGCTTTTGGCATAAGGTCTAATCGTTGACATCTAGGATTTATATATCCAATCATATTATGCTAGGTATTTGATATCAACTACATCGTTTCTCACCCAACACCGTGTTTAATCTTTACTAGCTTGTATGACATGCTATGGGTGTGAGTTACCAAAAACATTATTTATAACTGTATAATGAAAGTAATCTCTCAATTAATATTGTTGATCGTACTATTTATTAAACATTTTGATATCATAGTTTCATTGGCTATCATTCGGAGAAAGGAGAAGCTTTTAGACCGTAAAACTAAAACACATGAGGATAAAGAAAAGAGAAAGGGGAAGGAAAAAAAAAAAAAAAGGAGGGTAGGAACGAAATAGGAAGGAGGAAAAAAGAGA